ACCTCCTCTCTTAAAGCACAGCTGTACCTCCTCTCATAGAAATGTGAGGCTGTTGTTTTCACAGTATTTGTTGTACGTGTTTAGCGTAATCTGAGGATTTCTACCCCAGCACTGTCTCAGCTGGAGGTTGCACACATAGAAAGACAGAAGAGCAGCGCACACAATATACATTGTTAGTGTTCCTTCCTGCTGACACGACCTCTGCTTGTTTTCCTCAGGTCCGGTCCCTCCAGGCTCATGGGACACTCGGCTGTTGCCTACAAGGACAGTATGCTTATTTTTGGTGGAGGCGAGAGCCAGAACTCTCCAAAGAACTGCCTATGGAGGTACAACTTCACCACGCAGAGCTGGGGGAAGGTTGCCACACTCCCGGGCTCCAACCCCCCAGACAAGATCCACCACTGCTGTGCTGGGCTGGGTCCCGGCTACAAGTCCAACACCAGCAGCCCCTGCTCCAGCTCAGGACTCCAACCGGGGCTGCTGGGAGGGAAGCTGAGGCTCTTCAAGAACAAGTGCTTCCCTGACCCACTCACGTTTTTAGGCTCAGAGGGAGCTATAGAGCTGGAGACATTCAGCGCGGACAGGTGCTACGAAAGCAAAACACTCGCACTGTCCTCCAGTCTGGACAGCAGCACAGAGGGCTTGATGGGGACAGACGCACAGCGGATTGGAAACTGTTTGACCTTTGAGAACAAGGCTTTCAGGACCCAGTGGAGCACCACAGAGGACAACCTGCTGGACGAGGAGGCCGAAGACGTCGCCCAGCATCTGCCCGATCTGCTGCTGGTGCTGGGGGGAAGACCCTGCAGCAGACACAGTCCTATTTCCACCTGGCAAATGACTCTGACTGACTCCTAACAGCCCGACAAACCTTACAGACATCTTCTCTCTGAGAGAAATATAAGAGGGAAAAACATCAGTGTTAGATTATCACTTTGAGTGTTTATTGACATTCTGTTATTACATACTACTATTTTTATAATACTGTTACTTTTGTTGTGAATTGTAATGTTGTGAATGTATAAATTTCCTTTTTGCAATACTCAAATAAATTATCAGGAAATGTCATTAAGAAAAGCTATTCAATTATTACACTTGTTATGAACAATGATCTCAATAGTCGTATGATTGTGAACAAGATACACACATGAAGATCAAACAGGAAACACCAGGATCATGCACCACATATTCTCTTACATCAACTGTTCTGCTGTCACAGTTTGGTCTTCATGTGTGAGACACATTGCACAATAGCTTTCATTTAAACTGCCATCATGTAGCTGATAATAAAACCTGAACTACACACGGCGGTCGTTCTGTCTAACCTACGAGTGAATGAGACACGTGAAAAGCCCGCTAGCAGCTAGTCAACTTATAGAAGATCTCTTTCTTCAGATGTGCCTCTGAATAGAAATCAGACTTCTTTGAATTGGGAAAATGAAAGTGAGCACAGATCATGCTGTGATTTAATTCAAGCCTTCACTTTTTCATGAAAATTGGTGAATCGGCATTGATGCAATGCAAAAATGATTCTTACTTCAGACTAATGATCGGTGAGATTTTCATTTAAACAAATGTCTGTTGAGTTGCCCGGTGAGCTAACACAATGGTGACTGAGCCTATGGCCACTGATTTGCAGTGTTGTGGACTACTTGTGTTAGTTTTCAGGAACACATCTAAACATTTACTTTATTTCTATCTGAAAATGTTTGGATGAAAATGCACCTGCAATTACCTCGTATCGCCAAAGGTGGAGCCAAAGAGAAAGAAACGGAGACCACGTAGTGTTTCTTTTATCTTGTTCTTGAGTCAGTCCTACACACACCATCCTGCTGCCACAAATGCTCACTAGAGCACCAATCGTGTATGAATCTACAGCTGAAATGAGTGTCTTCAGGTTAATTGATGGTTCTAAGTTGCCCGTCGGTGTGGATGTGAGCGTGAGTGGTCCACCTGTCCAGGGTTAAAGCCTGCCTTCGCCCAATGTCAGCTGGGATTGGATCCGAACACAAGACTTATTTCTGGCTGCATCGTTTCACCAGATGGAAATACTCTGAATGTCTTGTGTGTCATTTCAGACACGTTTCCCGCATATTCAGAACAACATGTTTGGGATCTTTGGAAAATTTTGAATTTGAAATAAACGTCTGGGTGTCTAAACACTTCTTGGCTGCAAAGGTTGCCAGACCTGTGCTTGTTAAGGGGGATGAAGTCCCCTTACATATGTGCAGAGGAAAAATAACAATAAGTTAGGAATAACTGAGTCATGTCTAAATAAAGTGTAAAGCCCACTGGAACACATCTAAAGGTTGTTTTTGTTTCTATCTGATGACATTAATGTAAACCTCATCGGAGTACATGTGAGTCTACCTGTAGCAAAGTAAACTAATCAGGCGGCTCTAATCCATCACTGCTGCTGCGCCTCCTTTGGTTTGGCCTATTGACCTACATCACTGCTCCCACTCTCCAGACAGACCTGCTCCTGAAAAGATTCAATAAGCTTAACCAGCAAAGACTCTTCACTTGTGCCTGAATTACATTTGTGAGTAGCATCAAGTACTGTTGTTTATTATTATTATTATTATTATTACTACTACAATGGCCTGTATCTATCTGCTACCTGTTTGTTACATAATATCAATTATACAATATATATACAATATATATTTGAATGTGCAAGGACAAGCCTGCACCTTTCTGTTCTGCCTATAGGGTAACACTTTCTGTGACATCCATAATGCATTGTAATCACTGATACAATGCGTTATAATCACTGTTATGATGCATTATATTCACTGAAATAATGCTTTATAATCACTGTTTTCAATCAATATAATCAATGTTTTAATACTTTATAATCACAGAAATAATGTTTTAAAATCAGTTATAAAGCAGTATAATCACTACTATAATGCATTGTAATGTGACTATGAGTTATTCTAAGAGGTTTTTGTTTGCTTCAAGTTAAGTAAATATAAAACATTTGTGTGTAGATTTAATGATTTTTTTACTTTTCGTAAAGCACCCAAATGACCACTCAGAGCAACTTAAAATCACATTATGAGATTATAATGCATCACAACTATGGGAATCACAATATACTATCTATCCATCCATCCATCTATCTAACCATCTAACCATCTATCTATCCATCTAACCATCCATCCACCTACCTACCTACCTACCCATCCATCCATCCATCCATCTATCCACCCATCCATCCATCTATCTCTCCATCTATATTTTTGCAGTGTGTAATGAGGTGTTTATATCGGTAGATGGCGCTCTTTATTTGTTAATCAGCACAATAACCGGTCATAAACTCGTTAGACTAATTTTCCAACGTGTATATATTCTTTCATCCACATTTTTTTCATTTATAATAAATTTTTATAACATTGTATTCATACACTTTATTTGACCACTTTTCTTAACATTTTGAACATGTTTCCTAACCTGGATGCATGGCTGATTCAAAGAGCTTTAATATTTGTCTCGATCCCGTTTTATATTGCAATACAAATAGATTGTTCAGATCAGTCTGTAAACTGTGACCTAACTTCAATCCCAGTCTCCACAGGCTGGACTGCACTACCCAAACTGAACCTGTGCTCCCAAGACTGTGATCTCAAAGTCGGATGGCCACATTGTGTTTCAGTCTGTCGATCAAATAACGCAAAGTCTTTTAATTAAGGGGGAAAACATTATGCAACCTCTCCGGGGCCGGCGAGCTACCATAATAAAACCTTGCTCCATCAGCAGAGTCGTGGCTCTGGAGACGTAGTAGACGAATAATCCCTTGCCTGGCGTCCAGTTGGTGGAAATCCCCACGTGGTTTCAACTCCTGTATAAAAACTTTGGGTGCGCTGAGCCCCTGTTGTCGTGATTGCAAAGGGAGAAAGGGTCTCAGTGAGCAGCATCTTGCAAGGACGCACACGGAGCTGGCCATCCACAGCCGCGCGTAACAAACACCCGGTCGCCTATACACAAAAGACAGAGGACTCGCCGAGCGCTGTTATTCTCTGCGGGACTGCGGCCGTAGAAGTGGAGTTGCTGCGCGTTGTTTGAATGGAAACGAGCGGACTGCGCGCCTTTGGACACTGAGGGGGTTTATCATTTAGACTTGTAAGCGAGGCGCTGCGCTTTGTTTTGATAGATCACGCTCAGTCTGAAGAGAACGTGGTGCGAGAGAAGCGCGTCAACGATCCAGACTTCTGAGTGCGCCTGTCAATCAGAGAGATGAACTTTTTATTTAGCGCAGAGAAAAGACGCATCGCTGGATAACAACCTGAATGCATAATGACTCGAGGCAATTAGCCTCACCATTTCAGCCGCTTCTTGTGTGTTTTGGAATACAAAAGATTTCATTGGCTTCTGTGGATATCTTGTGGCGTCTCACTTTTGGAGGAGAAGTGGATGTTCCCTCCGGAACTTTCAAATTTGTAAATTAAAATTATCGTTTAAGTGTGTGTGTGTGTGTGTGTGTGTGTGTGTGTGTGTGTGTGTGTGTGTTTGACACATTCGCCATCTCTTCCGTAGTGTTTGGACTGCGATCTTAAGTTTTCTAAATATGAGCATCTACAGTGTGGCTTTGTCCTGTTTAGTGGCGTGCGTTCTCTCCGTGCGCTGCAGCTCGGTTTCCGGCGAGGAGACTCAGAGCTCGCCCCAGGAGTCGTGCGCGTCCTGCGGCAGGGCGCCGGATCAGTCGGAGCGGGTGAACATAGACTTTCTGGAGGCGGTGAAGAGGCACATACTGAACCGGCTCCAGATGAGGGACAGACCCAACATCACCCACCCCATCCCGAAAGCTTCGATGGTGACGGCGCTCAGGAGGCTGCACGCCGGGAAAGTGCGCGAAGACGGCCGGGTGGAGATCCCCAGCTTTGACGGACAGGCTGCGTACAACAACGAGGTGCAAGCCGAGAACTCTGAGATCATCTGCTTCGCCGAATCAGGTAATAATCAATAATTAATTTCACGCTTCCAAAGCGACCCCTCGATGAACCCCGGTCACCTTTTGACTTCATGTAACAGGGAGCCCAGGGGAGCAGGTGTTAATAACGTGGAATCGCTCTCATCCGCAGATGAAATTTCATTCTGTTAAGCTTATCTCGTTGATATGACTAAGCAGCAGAGATGGATGAGATGGACACATCGGCAGTTTTCAAATAAAAGCCATAAACTAATTGGATCCGGTGCGCTCATCATTTCATCTTATCACATCGCAATTCACTCCTGCCTGCAGCCAATGGCTGCTGTTAAATCCTCCTGTTTCTAGCCCGATGCAATTTCAAAGAACAGAAATGAAACCAAAGAAAGAGTCCTTAAATTACCCCCATGTGTTGTCTAGGGGATAAAAAGAACCTCTGAATCCAATTTCATCACTAAAGCTGTGCTCACACTCAATACTCAAATGTATAAAGCCCTCTTTTAAATACGGACAAAGTCCCTCAATTGGCCATTTATCCCTTCCTCTAAGAATGTGTATCTAACTAATTCTCAGAAGTCCAAAGAGAACACCCGTTTCTCTCTCTCTCTCTCTCTCTCTCTCTCTCTCTCTCTCTCTCTCTCTCTCTCTCTCTCTCTCTCTCTCTCTCTCTCACACACACACACACACACACACACACACACCTAAAATCATCTGCACTTGACAGAATCCAATAATTGTCAGTTAGCGCTGTGAGAACTGCGTCTTTGACACAAACTGCTTGTTCAACAAAAAAAAACAACATACAATTAAAGACACCAACATGGGATATCTTAAACACACACACACACACACACACACACACACACACACACACACACACA